AAAAGGGGGAAAAAACAGACCTTTGGATGGATAAAATAACTCCACTAAACTCTACTCGTTTGCTACCTGGGGATATTTTTAAATGGGTTTTCCTCATATAAGTAATTCTTACCCTATCTTTATAATATTGTCAGGAACCAGATGCTCTAAGCCCAGCATCTGGTGAGCTAAGGTGACACCCAAGTGCTCACTACATGGAAAATGGAGGGTCAATTTTACACAAGTCTGTCAGAATATATACAATTGTACATCTAGATGGTAGAGGGAGAGAAATGGATTGAGCAACTGAATCAGCTCATGGAGTTTGCATAAGATACTAAAAGCTGTTCAAAGTAAGAGAACTGAAAATAAAAGTTGGGAGCCAAATTTAAAAGGGATCCACAATGGAGTAGACAAGATGCTGGAGGAAAAGCAGAACTCTCATCTGGAGTAAAGTCAAATTGAAGACTAAAAAGAAAATAAAGTGTCACAGAGAAAGAGGAGAAATAGGGCCCCAGGAGCTAAGATAAAAATTTACTGAGCAATTTTTTGCTATATTAATTGACTGTCACCGGCCTAGCAGCAAATCAGCAAGAGGGGTTTTGTAAAGGCATACTGTGGGTTCTGACAGCAGCTTATATCATAGCAAACCTCCTTCAACTTGGTATGTGTTACGATACTTCAGCAAAATCCTACATCTCATGAAGTCTTCCATTTACATGTGAACTGCACGAACTACATTGTACCTTACCAAGTCCAGTTTATCTACATCACATAGCAGTCAGATAATCAAAAGAGCCTTAAAGATCCCCCAGCAAAGGCTTAAATAATTTCCAACAAAGGCACTTTGAAACTTAGAAAAAATGTATTCAAAGTGAAGGATGTTTTTGACTCCTTGTTTAGAAAAAAATGGGCCAGCATTCATTGATTTATTCAAGGATATTTATTTAACCACCTACCACAAGCTAAGCATTGAAGATACAAAGATGAAGAAGATAGTATCTGGGCCTCAAGAGACTTACAGTGTGTAGGGAGGCAGGGGTGGTGGGGGTGGAGACAGGCATGCAGATTAGTAAGGATAATAAAACATTACAGGTTCTATAACAGAAGTCTGTCGATGATAACATAGGAATATAAAAAAGGAGAGTGATGAATTCTACAGGGGTAGGGGACTCATAAAGTCTTTAGAGAAAAGGTGACCCTTTAAAAAATAAATGCAGCAAATCAGGACATTAATATCTATTACACAAAAGAAAATCACATACATATAATTTGTTGTTCATTACAAAAGAATGATATCTATTTAGGGATGGACAGGCTATAAATACATTTGTAAAACTCTGTCATTTCAGAAATGCTCCACTAGCCTCTTTGACAATTGAATACATTTTGGTTGTCATGGTAACAATCAATACCCAAATATACAACTTATAATAGGCTTTGTTCACAAGGAAAATTAAGACAAAATTTTGTTCCTATATATTGTACATGAAGATCTTAGTCATAATTTGGATACATATATAACTGCCTGGATATTATTGGCCATACAGATACCCTTAGAGATTTTTTTTCTGAACACTCACCATTCATGTTTACATCTCTTCTAGGGTCGTTATTTTAAAGTAAGTTACCAGGTAGCTTATGAACTGATAAAGCAGAATTGCATTTATTACAAATAAAACTTTGGCTACTGGTATCCAGGTTAGGGTATAATCTTCAGATGTACACAACACAAAAATATTTGGGTCACATATTGGATTCTTTGGCCACTCACTCTTGCAAGTAGCAGAATTTTAAGAGTGCCATCTTGCAAAAATCCACTTACAAATAAATTAATCGAAGTCCACTGACAAATTCAATTCTAATCCGTGGTCTCTTGGGTCAACGAATGCTATAAACTTATCTTTGTTAGGGAATCATTTATGGTCTTTATCCCAGTTGCCTCGTTCCAGATCACTCAATTTAGGAACATTCCTCAATTTACTAGCACTCTTAAAATTCTGCTACTTGCAAGAGTGAGTGGCCGAAGAATCCAATATATGGCCCAAATACCTTTGTGTTGTATACATCTGAAGACTATACCCTAACTGGATACCAGTAGCTGAAGTTTTATTTCTAATAAATGCAATTCTGCTTTATCAGTTCATAAGCTACCTGGTAACTTAATTCAAAATAACGACCCTAGAAGAGACGTAAACATGAATGGTGAATGTTCAGAAAAAGTAGCACATAGTCTACTACCAAGTTAACCCATCTCAAACCTCTGAAGAATGACTTTGAACTTCTTTGTTAGAAAAATGTCTCTATTTTGAATTTTCCATAGTAATACTTATGTGTTCTCACAGAATACACAGTCTCACAGAAATTCCTGAGTGTCACTAGTGGATCGGTCCAACCTCTAGGTAAAGCCTAAGTCTTCCCTCACCTCACTTTAATCCCTACTGCATTCCCACCCCTACTCTTCTCTCTCCTGTGTGAAGAGAAAAGGTGATAAGAAGAGGATAGAAGATAGGAGAGGTGGGGAGGGGAGAGTGGAGAAGAGAAAGAAAGGGGAAGGGAAAAAGAATCCAGAACTGCTAGAGAGAGATTTTATTTGAAAGGAGTATTGCAGAGGAAAGTGGAAGGGTGACTACTGCAATAGGGAGAACATTTTGACCACAAGATTTACAACCAAGTCAAGAGTAAGACAAAAGAGATTTTTTTTTGTATGAAGACATAAACAGGGCTAGAATAAATCTGAGATGGAGAAGTGGGATAAAACGTGGCATGACTGAATCGTAGGTCAGAGAATCAGTCTATTGTCAGGAGAGGAAGTTAAGGAGATGCTACATGTTGGCAATGTTCAGAGGAACATAGAGGAGAAAGAGAAGCTAAATCACAGATTAGTTAACAAATATTTTCTTTCAATTGATCAGCAGAACAAGCAATTCAGCTAATCATTTATGAGGTAAAGAATGGAAATTTGAAGAAATGCATCCCGCCTCATCATAGGTAAAAAAGTGTGGCATCCCTGTGTATATCTAATTGATACAAGAGAAGAGTAACTTTTTTCTTTTTTATTTTATTATTATTAATAATATTTTGCAGTAAGCTGTTTCTAAAACACAAAAGGGTGTGGGGATTTCTTTTCTCTCTCTCTCTCTTTTTTTTTTTCCTGAGACAGAGTCTTGCTTTGTTGCCCAGGTTGGAGTGCAGTGACCTCAGCTTACTGCAACTTCAGCCTCCTGGGCTCAAGGGATTCTTCTGCCACAGCTCCTTAGTAGCTGAGACTACAGGCAACCACCACCATGCCTGGCTAATTTTTGTATTTTTAGTAGAGAAGGGTTTCATCATGTTGGCCAGGCTGGCCTCGAATGCCTGAACTTAGGTAATCCACCTGCCTTGGCCTCCCAAAGTGCTGGGATTACAGGCATGAGCCACTGCACCCAGCCAGGTGTGGAAATTTCTTAATCTTTGTTGTTTTCCAGGATCATAGGACTTAGGTGAAATTCACTATTGTCCACTGACATTAATCAAAGATTGGATGATGCTACTGGAAAATCAAGCTTTTAGTATATGTTGGAATAAATAAAAAACTACCTTCCAAGGGACTCGTATTAATGTGAATTTCTTACATATGTTTTAGTCTAGGTAAAAGAAACCTTAATGATTAAAGACAGACCAGAACTCCATATGAAGGTTTGAGGTAAAACAATACACAAAAGTATGCAACTTTCTAACCCTGTCTTCTGTACTTCTCCCTAGTAGCAGAGAAGAGAGGAAGCATCTCCTTCTACAATCTCCCCTGCTGATCAGTGGAGATAGCTAAATGGTCATTAGCTGCTTTATGTTCTCAGTCATCTATAATTTTTTACTTTGGAGACACATCTGACATAAAGTAAGCAAAAAAGAATCAGTGATGTTTTAGTCTCAGAGGTTAAGCTTATAGCGAAGCTATACAAAATCTCTGAAATTCCCAGACCTAAGTATTCCCATTAAAAGAAAAAAACTGAATTGTTTTCCTATATGAATATTACTGAGAAAAGTAAATAGCCCATTGCAGTTAGAGTATCTGCCTCTGACTCAAGAGAAGCAGTAAGAAGATCGACTTCCTTATACATTTTTTCTCAAACTCCAAGAGAGCAAGCAGAGAGGAAGATGAAGAAATACTACAGTGAGCTGGCTAGATGACCAGTATACTCACCTGAACATAAAAAGAGCCTCTTTCCAAAGCAAAATACATAGTCAATACAATGTTAATTTGCCCACTATGGTTTACCCCAGCACTTTCAGAAATGATTTTACTACCTTGACTCACTCAAAATAAAATCCATTATTTGCATTAGAACTAACAGATTAATGAAAGAGAATATAAAGCAACATAGATTTTAAGGACACTAATAAGATTCACTTAAGAAATTTCTCCATTTATAATAGCTTAGCAATTACATTATTATCCTATTGTCTGAAACAAAGAAAATCATATTTTTATTGTGTCCATTCTCAAGATGAATGCAGAAATAATTGAATGCAGAAATAAATGAATGCAGAATGCATAATTGTTAAATTCAGTTTTCTATTAGGAAAATAACACATTAAAGATGAACATAGAAATGATAGAAATAAAACTTCTAAGCTGGAAAATGACTTCATTACTGTTAAATCATATTAATAATTTCTAATTGATTTGTATTGGGCAGGCATCTTATATTCCAGAACCATGTTCATCTATTTATCACAATGTATTCTATATGACATATGGAAACTAATACATTACTTCATTAATATTTAAGTATTTAGTTATGGCTCGGGGATATTTAACATTCTAAAACATAAGCATTTATAATTACATGTTTAACATTTTACTCTAATTTTTAATACTGCCAAAATTATTTAGCGTAACTTTTTAACTACATACTCTTTCTCTCTTTACCATTAGCATATCAATCAAATTTGAATTATTCTGCTTTGCTCATTTTATTAAAAGCAAATTCAGGGCACGATTGACTTTTCATTTGTTTAACAAGTGAAGAAATATTTACCCTGACAGCCATTGCACTGTAGAGATTCATCATTATAGTATAACGTGCTACCTGTGAATCAAGAAGAAAAGATGGCATACATTTTAGTTACACAAAGACAGTGCAGCCTATTTTTACATATAAAAGATAAGAATCTTTATACATAATACATAAGAGTTCTAGCCTTAGAAAAATGAAATCAAACGTTGTATTGAAGAGATAGGCTTTCTAATACATAATGCAAGCTTAACCAGAAAAGTCTATGGTAGTCCAACTAGGAGCTAATGGAGATATATGATCATAAAATGCTCTCCGCTGCGTTTGATAATCCATGGTGCTCTACTGAGAATAGAATAACAAAGCAGAAATATTCACAAGTGCTGGTGACATGTAGTATTGTATGATTTATTCACTGGGGTTCTTTTAGCCAAAACTCACAGAAACATAAAAGGAATTCATATTTCAAGATGTCTGGTTTAATGAAAAATTCAAAGAAATGCTGTCTTCAGTCGAAATCATTCAAGGATGTGGATGCAGTGATGGAGCAAAATTGTGCCTTCCAACCATCTATGAAAAATGTGATGTACTTAGCTGCCTCCTGAGTAATCCTTGGGAATTTTGTTTCATTTAACATTTATTTTAACACCATAAAATCATAAATACAATGATATCATGTTACAGCAAATCTCTTGATATAGTAAAGACTTCCTGAAGTGTTGGTTTCTCTCTAGTAAAGACACATTTATCTATTAATATACAAATTTCTGTTTCAGTAAATCATTTGACAATGTAGCTTATTTCAATGAAAATATTACTTTAAATAAAGCTTCCCCATCTCTCTCTTAATTAAAAATATAAAATTAATATAATTCATGACAGTACAACAAACAATAAAAGCAATGAGATACATATGAGATATTTTTAACTTTATTTTTATTCAATCAAAATTTATTTACTATAACTTGAGCCCAGGTAATAGCTATTATGTTTCAGGCAAAAATCAGAATAAAGTGCCTTAACTCTTTATAAAGGGGCTTTCTGCCCCCTGACAAACAGAAATTCATATAAAAAGGTTTCACTGTAATTAGTGTTGTTTGAATTGCCTGGTCTGATCCAAAGCAAATTGTCTGTGGAGAGCAGCAGGGCTGGATTATTTATCAACAGTCTGAGCAATTAAGAAACAGTTGGTTGCAATATGTTATTTACAAATGAACACAACCGTGTTTCTTCATTTTAAATTCTCTTTCTTCATGATGGTAAGCAAGGCATAATTGGTGTTTGAGGTGATTTAAAATATTTACTTTAATATTGTACTTCTGGAAGTCACATTGAAGCAGACATTGCTATTAAGTATTTGTATAAAGAAGAAATACATTGAATATTATATATTTACAAAAGTTTGGGTTCCAAAAAAGATGGTTCTTGCCTTTATCATATCACTGTTTAGTTACCAGTAGAGTGTATGTATGAGCTTCTGAGCCACAGACCTAAGTTCAATTCTTGACTTTTCTTTTAACAGCTGTGTGGCCTTGAACCACCTACTGAAAGTCTCTCAGTCTTCATTTCCATGCTTATGAAACAGGTCATTATATATTTCATTGAGTTGTTGTGAAGAGTAAAATGATATACAGTATCTAAGGTGCTCAGGACATAGCTGATAGTCATTATGAAAGGGATTATCAGTAGTGCTCACATTACACATTTTGTAGTTAAAAGTACATAATTTAACTATAAGTAAAATTCCAAAAAGTATAAAGGGCTCAATTTTATTATGAACTAACAGGAAAAAGAGATTCATATTTGGAGCCTAAGAATTCTGAATCCTGTAGTTAAGAGGTAAAAAAGCACTTTGATTCTCACACATTATTCTTACATGAACCACTAACTGACACCACATTTATTCTCAACTGTCTAGCCCAGATGCTTTAGAAAGTACTGAAAGAAGCATATGCAACTAAAATAGTCATATTCATAGAGACAGAAATTAGAAAGTGGTTACCAGGGGCTGGAGGGAAGGGAGAGTTATCATTTAACGTGTACAGAGTTTCAATTTGAGAAGATGAAAAAGTTCTGGAGATTAACAGTGGTGTGGTTACATAACAGTGTGAATATACTTAATGCCACTGAATAATACAAGTAAAAATGATAGAAGTGGTAAATTTTATGCTATGCATATTTTACCACAAGTTTCTAAAAAACTTAAAACATTACATGTGAATGAACTGCATTAACATAAGCTAGCTAGGAGATAAATATAAACACTTTAAACTTATGTAAAATTTTATCTGTCTTTGTTTTTCCATTCTGAAAATGATAATGATTTGTTATATTAACATTAACCCTTTGGGTTACCTGAACAGTTAAAATATAACTCATAGAAAGCTCTTGTTCTTAAAAACTTATTTTCTAGAATTCTGTCTTAAAAGGTATATTTTCATTCCATGAAATTGGGCAAGCAAAGCATATTATACCTACCAAATGTTAATAACCTTTCCAAGAATGACAAGCCAGTTTCATGTCTCAGCAAACAAAATTCTTTTTTATTAATTACCTGTTTTTAATCATCAAGATATCAAGTCTACTTTAAAGGGGAAGATTAAAGATCTGGAGTGAAAAGTAAGTATAACAGAATTAGGTTGTTTTATTGTAGTGGAAACACGGTGCTCAATTATAGATGTTCAACATTTATTCAAATGTTGAATAAATGAAGAAAAAGAGGGAGGGGAAAAGAAAAGGAGAGAAAGATAAGGAGAATTAATGTCTTGCATTTACATTAGATAGGAAGAATTACCGGGATTAAAAAATAGCATTTGAACATTACCAACCATTTGTAAGCTGCATGCGGCTTTTGTCATATTACCTAGCTCAATTTTTAGAAAGCTTATGAAATTCTTTAGAAGGAATATATTCCTTTTGAAAACACAATTAATTTCCTGACTGTTTGATATTCACATGGATCTTTTAGACAGGGCTGCTATTCAATGGAATTAGACCAGAGAGGTCATGCTTATTATTTATAACTGGTGTCCTTTCTGATTTGTTGTCCACCAACTCTAATAGATGACCCTACTGTATACATGGCTAAGTATTTTTAATGTTATCCTGCTTGTAACACAAACTTCTGAGAACTCAGTTTCACCTACAGCTATGGTGGTCGTCTATTTTATGTTGAGGATTTGATGCTTTCATTTTCACCTATCATTTCCAATTATTCCCTGGGCTTTGTCAAGCCTTCTTTTTCCCCTGACTGAACAACTTACCATCTTCATACCTGCTTATTCTTATGTTTAATCTATTTGAAACAGCTCTTCTAGATTAATTTTGTAAAGTATTGCTTTTATCAAGTCCTTTTTCAAATTTTTAAAAGCATAGATTTTTAATAGTTTCCAACTGCTTAAAGCAAGGCATCCTAACTGGGCTGATTGATATAACTAACACACTTCAGTATTTCAGATCACTAGAAGAGAGAGAGAGAGAGAGAGAGATAAAATTACAAGCTAAGGCACATGACACTTCATGTTTTTTATTTCTCCATAGGATAATGATTACTGATGAGAGTATATCCCATATTTAAGTTTTGTTTTTTGCTATCAAGTGAATTACAGTGGGGCAAGGGATAAAAGAGAATTGCTGTCTTACAGGTCAAAGTGATAACCAAAATTCACCAAAATCAGGTGCCGATCATTTTTTTTCCAATTATCCCTCCCTATTCCCTTTCCCTTAAACCTCGATCTGATCAAATTACTGGATGTATTTGTCTTCTCCACTTTCATATTTATATGACTTTGCTTGCCTGAAATGTCCTACCATTTCTTTTTAGCTGTCCAAATCCTATCTCCCCTGTTTTCCTTAAAAGCATTTGTTTATAGAATAAATTACCTTATCTCCCCTACTACAAGTACTACCAAGTGGAATAAGACGCTAACATTCTCCTAACTCCAAGGGAACTTCCAAACCATTTCAAACCAGTAGGATGAACTTCTTTAAATAAAGAAATAAATAACAGAACCCACTTTTAATCTGAGGCTTTTCAACTTTATTAGTCTCTATCCCTTTTTGGTGTTGTTATCCTTCCTTAAGCTTCTGGATCATACTATCCTCTATCTCTTCTTCTTGCCCTCCCAACTTGCTCCTGATACAGGTTATGAAGATTTCAGGTGGCCACAGTTGCTCATGCCTGTAATCCCAGCACTTTGGGAGACCAAGGCAAGCAGATCACTTGAGGTCAGAAGTTCAAGACCAGCGTGGCCAACATGGTGAAACCCTGTCTTTACTGAAACCACACACACAGAAAAAAATCAGCTGAGCATGGTGGTGGGTGCCTGTAATCCCAGCTACTCGGGAGGCAGAGACACGAGAATCACTTGAACCCAGAAGGCAGAGGTTGCAGTGAGCTGAGATCATGCCACTGTACTCCAAACTGGGCGACAGAGTGAGACTCCATCTCAAAAAAAAAAGATTTTGACACCTAGGTTAAAATCTTACTGTTCATCGGAACTTCTGCCACTATCCCAATACTTTTCATATTCATACCAACAGCACAGTCAATTACCTAATCTCACAGTCACCTACCTTTTCCAGTCCCAATGAGCCTCGCTTCTGTTTAGCCTTATATTGCCAAAGAATGCTACAGACTTTGTCAACTATGACTGTTCCTTGTTTTAAACCCAGACTGCAAATTCTTCCCCATCAAGCCTGGGAGGTTTAATTTCTATTAAAAGACTGTTTCACCTAATCTAAACAGATCTAGGACAAATCTCTTCTCTTCCTCGCTTTAAAAATCCTTCACATATTTTCATATATAATATACAAAAACTGCAGTTGTTTTTGTTATATGAACATACCGTAAGTTATTTAATCTTTCCTTTATTGTTGAACATTTTGGTTGAAAACCAAGAAAATATGAGCTTCAAGGATAAAATGATCAACCATTTCAAGAGCTAAACACTTAAAGTAATATATAATAATTTTGAGTAACATATCTAAATAACTTGACAAGTTCAATCATTTGCTAGATTGAACAATATAAAATAAACATATGCATTAAAGTGATGAGAATGAAACCTTTGGAA